TGATGTATGGGCTCAAGCTAGAATTGCAATATATCTTGATGGTGAATTGCTTTATAGTTTTAATCACCCTAGTGTACAACATATATTTCAAACAAATTTAGCCAATCCTTATATAACTTGTATTTCAGAACACTGAAATAATTCTTATACAATAGAAAATATATTTGAACAAAAAATAAAATGTCGAAAAATAGCAACTAATCTATTAGAAATCTGGCAAAATTTGTTTAACACTTGGATAAGTTAAGAAAATACAATAATTAAGTTCAATTATATACTTTCTATAATATATCTGTCTACTTATGAATTGAATAAGAATGAATTTTGAGTTTGAAGAAATATGTTATCTTCGTGTAGATGTACTGATATAACACCATATCCCAAATCTAAATATAAAGAAGAATTTTGGAGTCGATCAAAAGATCCAACTACTGACAAAGCTAACTTGAAAATGTTATATGAACTTAGGTGCTTATAATTAAAATCCAGAGATTCAAAAAGCTCAGAAAATGCAGAAAACTCAGAAGATTTAGAAGAAAGCATATTCTGGAATAGTTTTCAAAATGCTTTGATAGTTAATAAACATGGTCAAAATGAAAAAACACGAATTTTATCTATTATAGCAGATCAATTTATCTATAAACAACTTCGAAAAAAACTTCAAGTTAGTTCAAAACTAAAATAAGATTACTAACAAAATTTCTTATCACATAAATATTCAGGCAAAAATATTATTTTCTTATCTAGTTTATTTGTTAAAAAAAATCAAATAACAGAGAAAAAAGAAATAAAAATAAATAGATAATAAAAATAAAAAAAATAATAATGAATAAAGAGAAAATAAATAAATAAATAAATAAGAATAACACGGTATCCATTAGAAGAAAGTTTAGTTACTAAGTATAGCTATTAGCTATTGAAAATCCCAAAGTAGTTAGTAAATAACTAATAGTTTCAAATTGAAATGAAAACAATAATTTGTAAATATTTGATATATATCTAAATTCACTATATTCGTTTCTCAATTTCTTATTATGATAATGCCTTTTGCAATTTAGAAAAAAATTATATTTCAGAACTAAATATATAATTTCATAAAGTTCCAATCTTTTTGTTTAATAATAAAAGAATTATTTGAACTTATTTGAAAATAAAATTGATTGCTTACTTGTTTTAAATAAACATATTAGCTATTTCAACTAAAATATTTTTTTTTTAAATTAATACTACAATTGCTATGATTAAATTAGTTCAAATGCAATAAAACTAGCATGTAAATATTTTTGATTGTATGGACCTGGTGCTCTGCAAGTTGAATATTCAAAAAAATCTGTTCAAAGAATGGATGAAGTGAAAGAAACACAGTTTTTAGCATTTTTTCAAGATAAAAATAATATTGTGCAAAGTTCTTACCAAGTTAATGCCAAAACTAATATTTCTATTTTATATATACAAAATCAAAAAGAAGCTCTATAAACAAAATTTAATGAAACATATCCAAATAGAATATGACAAACCTCTTTTATGACCTGACTAGCAAATAATAGCCATATTCGATATCATAAAAATTTGAGTAGATTATACATTTTTCACAATGAATATAGATTTGAAGTATTTGAGGATCTATTAACTCTTGTATGTCAAATATTTACAGAAAAGGAGATTTTAGTGAGTTATAAACACTTAAAAAATCATATATAGTTAACACTTTTTATAATAGACTAAAGATCATAGAAGGAAAAAAAGTTTGTTATAAAAAATTACTATGTTTCCTTAAGAATTTATAGTATTTTTTATACTGAACTATTATAAAAAGTTCATGTTTGTTATATACGAAGTTCGTTATAGAAAGGTTTCAGAATTGACTATAATAATAAATATTATAAAATTTGTTCTGTTTAGAACAAATAATTATCTATAATAGGTTGTATAATTGCATATATAGTCAACTTTTTCTATAATGAACTAAAGATTCTAAAAAAAAAGCTCTCTATAAAAAATTCCTATGTTTTATAGCACTTTTTATATTGAACTATTATGAATTTTAAAATTTTGTGCTTGTTATATCCAGAGTTTGTTATAGAAAGGTTCGCTATATTCAGAATCAACTATATTTTGCTTTAGACATAAATTTTATAATATTGTATTCAATAATTATATAATATCACCAGTGATAGGCATTTGACCAATTTGACCAATTTGACCAATTTTTTAGCTATTATTAAATTTTTTTTTATTTATTATTAATTTTATTTTTAACTAAATTAAACAATATACTTTATATAATAATTTATTAAATTTAAATTTAAATAATGATATCTTTTAACTAAAAATTTTTTATTAATAACTAAAAAATTGGTCAAATTGGTCAAATTGGTCAAATATCTATCACTGATTATCATATATTGAAAACTTATATTGTTATCTTAAAAGAAATTTTGTATACTATTTAAAAGTTGAATTAGATGGAAAATTACTATATAATAATTGCATCGACCATTGTTTGCTATTCATATTGGAGAATGCTCAAATCCATACTATTTGTATTGTCAAGAGTATTCAGAACTGTCTAATTTTTTTGATTTTATAAAAAAATATACAAATAATAAGTATGATTCTCAACTATTAGAAATATAAGAAAAATTGAAATATTTTCTCACACATCATGCTCGAAAATATTATCTAAATAAACAATATAAAATATCATTACTTAGTCTTAATTCAGATAGTGCAATTATAATTGCAGATTACAAAATGCGGGTTTTTCTAAAAACAGCACAAGAAACAAACCAAAAATTTTTTGGAAAAAGTGGCTAGACATTGTATACGATTTTAATAATAACTAAGGAGGATAGTAGCAAAAATTGTTTAAATATTAGTGCTTATGATTATTGATCTACAGATACAAAACAAGATGCCTAGTTTATAGTATCTTGTTTGAAACTGTGTTTAACAATATTGAGAAGAAATCTAAATAGATAAAAATTATTTCAGACAATAGACCATACTATCATAATAGTAAACTCATGACGATTGTAGCCTATTGGTTTGATTAATATGATATTGAGATTTGTGAATAGCTATTTCTAGAGCCGGGTAAAGCAAAAACTATAATTGATTTACATCACACTACAGTAAATAAAAAAATAAAAAATAAAAATAATAAAATAAACCAAAGCACACACCTTTTTTATCCTTATTTTTTTTAGATAACACATGCTATCAACCAATATATTCATATTAAATGTGATGTAGTAGAAGGATCTGATATTGTAACTGCTACAAAAGATCTTGCAGGAACATATTTAGCAAATATTGAGCCAAATCGATACCAAAAAACAAATAAAAGTGAAAAGTTAGTAGCAGAAAATGGAAAAAAAAGCCACATATAGAAACTATTGCTAGAATATCTAAATATAATTTCTGGCAATAGCCAATTATAGGCTTATTAGCAGTATACATTATAGCATATCTATTACTACACTTTGGAACTTCAGCTCATTTTTCCTTTTTCATGATTGCTAATTTGTGTAATAAAGAGCTTTCTCATCTTGAACCAAAAATATCTATATATACCAAACCTTAATCAAAATGGATAATGACTTTACTAAAACCCCAAGGTAAGGAAGTATCATATACAAATTACATCAATAATACTCATACAAAATTTTGTTATAAAAAACAAAAAGCAGGACACAGAAGATGTTGAGATGATAGGTAATAGAAACATATTTTATCAAAACTTTATTATCTAAATCTAAAATTACACACATATATATATAAACTAGATCTTATTAATACAATAAAAGAAAATAATATAGAAAAAGGTAAGTATAATAATTGATAAAATATATTTATCACCTTTCTATTAAGCAATAAATATTTGAAATATAGAACAAAGTACTTACATAATTGTGGAATCAGTTGACTTTCCTTGGAATAAAAAATAGGTGTTATGTGAGAATACAGTATATGGTAATTGAAGTGAAGGAAAACGAATAACAGATACTATAAAAAAATGTTTGAACAAATATTCTTACTGAGGAATATTCATACGAAAGATCAGATAATGGCTAAAGAAATGCACGATAAATTGATAGAATTTGCAGTTAGTAATGAATTAGATCAGAACGAAGTGCCGAAAGTTATAACAATTTAAAAATAGATACTGTAGTATTATAAAATATTTTTTGCACAGATGACAAAAACTGCACTAGACTCTAATTTGGGTGAAAACATTCCAACTGATAGTACATCGAAATAGAACAAAAATAGATAGATAATATGAAATCTGGATATTTTTTTTACTTCTTGATTTAATCTAGTATTTTCATATTTGCCTCCCTGTCTATACGTCTAGCAAGCTCTTGGTCTTCATATTTTCACTATACAAAAATTAAATAAATCTAAGTTTTATAAATATATATACAATAATAAGTACTGAAAAAATGAATACCTAATGAAATGATCTTTCCGAAACTGCAATTTATATGAAATCGAGCCTTATACTTAGAGTTCCAAATGCCACTTCATATTTTATAAAATTTGCTAACGAAAGATCATTGCGATTTAAGATTTTCTCTACAATATTATTTAGATTCTAAAGTGTTAAAATCAAGTGACATTACCATTATATAGTTAGTAAAATAATCACATTATCTTTGAGTACAAAAAATCATAGACTTTGCTTTGTATAGCAATATACGTAATATTTTATTAGTAAAATGATCATTATTCTAAAACGTTATACCAATTAAAGTTTATATAAGTTTAAAAAATTAACGTTTAATATAAAAAAAAAAATATAAGGTAGATATACTTAATTTGACGTAGTTCTTAATTTGACACACAATGATATCTTGTGAACCATCGATCAGAATTATACAATTTTGGTACTATTCAATTTGTCTCATCAAAACGAATTAAACAGTACCAAAATCATGCAATCCTAATTATTAGTTCTCGAGATACTCTATTTAACCAAAATAGCCCAAGACAGAAATATCTAATTTGATGCAGGCAATCGATATTACATGATATATCGATCAGAATTGCAAGATTTTGGTATCATTTGATTTGTCTTATCGAGACGAATCGAATGGTACCAAAATCTTGCAATTCTGATTGATATATCATGTGATATCAATTGTAAATATTTGCTTGCGTCAAGTTAGGCACTATAACAAATAAAGAATATATTTTTTAGACTAACTTCAATGAACAATATCTCGTGATTCAGTGATTAGAATTAGATAATTTTGGTACCATTCGATTCATCTCAATGAAACAAATCGAATAGTACTAAAATTATCTAGCTCTGATCAAGGTATCATGGAATATTTATCATAAACTTTACTTGTGTCAAAATAAAAGTACTTACCTTATATACAATTTTAACTAATTAGAATCAATTACACAAAAATTAGCCAATCAGAATTGATTATATAAGCATCAAAATTGGCACCTCTATATAGATTAGATATTTTTTATTGTCCTGTATTGTATAAAAAATAACAAATTTTATTATAGTTAAACCTCTATAAATATAATAGATATAAATTAATTAAATATATATTTAAAGAGATTTGTATTTAGAGAAAGCTAATCAACTTGTAGTTTTTAATATTTAATCTGCAGGCTTGTGTAATAAACTTAAATACTAATTTCTAATTAACTATATATATTTAGGGAGATTAGTATAATATAAAAAATCTTTTGAATAAACATGTATTTGCAGAATATAGAATGTATATTTAGCACTAATAATTTCATATAGCCAAAACAAAAACATACATTTAGAGAGATATTATATTTATAGAAGTTGTATTTAGAAAAGTCTAATTGTATTATTAATATTGTTAATTTTATCATTAGTAATTGAATATTCAAAAAAGTTGGAAATATATTTCGATAAATTCAATATAAAAAGTTTTGATCATTTGAAATTTGGTCATTTACGAAGAAGAATATGCATTAAAA